GCACCTGGAGAAGAGAGGAATGCAGAGGAGAGAGAGAGATTTTGGGAGATGTTAAGTGAATGTATAGGAGCCTTTGAACCAAGTGAGAGAGTAATTGTGGTAGGGGACTTGAATGCTAAAGTAGGAGAAACTTTTAGAGAGGGTGTGGTAGGTAAGTTTGGGGTGCCAGGTGTAAATGATAATGGGAGCCCTTTGATTGAACTTTGTATAGAAAGGGGTTTAGTTATAGGTAATACATATTTTAAGAAAAAGAGGATAAATAAGTATACACGATATGATGTAGGGCGAAATGACAGTAGTTTGTTGGATTATGTATTGGTAGATAAAAGACTGTTGAGTAGACTTCAGGATGTACATGTTTATAGAGGGGCCACAGATATATCAGATCACTTTCTAGTTGTAGCTACACTGAGAGTAAAAGGTAGATGGGATACAAGGAGAATAGAAGCATCAGGGAAGAGAGAGGTGAAGGTTTATAAACTAAAAGAGGAGGCAGTTAGGGTAAGATATAAACAGCTATTGGAGGATAGATGGGCTAATGAGAGCATAGGCAATGGGGTCGAAGAGGTATGGGGTAGGTTTAAAAATGTAGTGTTAGAGTGTTCAGCAGAAGTTTGTGGTTACAGGAAAGTGGGTGCAGGAGGGAAGAGGAGCGATTGGTGGAATGATGATGTAAAGAGAGTAGTAAGGGAGAAAAAGTTAGCATATGAGAAGTTTTTACAAAGTAGAAGTGATGCAAGGAGGGAAGAGTATATGGAGAAAAAGAGAGAAGTTAAGAGAGTGGTGAAGCAATGTAAAAAGAGAGCAAATGAGAGAGTGGGTGAGATGTTATCAACAAATTTTGTTGAAAATAAGAAAAAGTTTTGGAGTGAGATTAACAAGTTAAGAAAGCCTAGAGAACAAATGGATTTGTCAGTTAAAAATAGGAGAGGAGAGTTATTAAATGGAGAGTTAGAGGTATTGGGAAGATGGAAGGAATATTTTGAGGAATTGTTAAATGTTGATGAAGATAGGGAAGCTGTGATTTCGTGTATAGGGCAAGGAGGAATAACATCTTGTAGGAGTGAGGAAGAGCCAGTTGTGAGTGTGGGGGAAGTTCGTGAGGCAGTAGGTAAAATGAAAGGGGGTAAGGCAGCCGGGATTGATGGGATAAAGATAGAAATGTTAAAAGCAGGTGGGGATATAGTTTTGGAGTGGTTGGTGCAATTATTTAATAAATGTATGGAAGAGGGTAAGGTACCTAGGGATTGGCAGAGAGCATGCATAGTTCCTTTGTATAAAGGCAAAGGGGATAAAAGAGAGTGCAAAAATTATAGGGGATAAGTCTGTTGAGTGTACCTGGTAAAGTGTATGGTAGAGTTAAAATTGAAAGAATTAAGAGTAAGACGGAGAATAGGATAGCAGATGAACAAGGAGGCTTTAGGAAAGGTAGGGGGTGTGTGGACCAGGTGTTTACAGTGAAACATATAAGTGAACAGTATTTAGATAAGGCTAAAGAGGTCTTTGTGGCATTTATGGATTTGGAAAAGGCGTATGACAGGGTGGATAGGGGGGCAATGTGGCAGATGTTGCAAGTGTATGGTGTAGGAGGTAGGTTACTGAAAGCAGTGAAGAGTTTTTACGAGGATAGTGAGGCTCAAGTTAGAGTATGTAGGAAAGAGGGAAATTTTTTCCCAGTAAAAGTAGGCCTTAGACAAGGATGTGTGATGTCACCGTGGTTGTTTAATATATTTATAGATGGGGTCGTAAGAGAAGTAAATGCGAGGGTCTTGGCAAGAGGCGTGGAGTTAAAAGATAAAGAATCACACACAAAGTGGGAGTTGTCACAGCTGCTCTTTGCTGATGACACTGTGCTCTTGGGAGATTCTGAAGAGAAGTTGCAGAGATTGGTGGATGAATTTGGTAGGGTGTGCAAAAGAAGAAAATTAAAGGTGAATACAGGAAAGAGTAAGGTTATGAGGATAACAAAAAGATTAGGTGATGAAAGATTGAATATCAGATTGGAGGGAGAGAGTATGGAGGAGGTGAACGTATTCAGATATTTGGGAGTGGACGTGTCAGCGGATGGTCTATGAAAGATGAGGTGAATCATAGAATTGATGAGGGAAAAAGAGTGAGTGGTGCACTTAGGAGTCTGTGGAGACAAAGAACTTTGTCCTTGGAGGCAAAGAGGGGAATGTATGAGAGTATAGTTTTACCAACGCTCTTATATGGGTGTGAAGCGTGGGTGATGAATGTTGCAGCGAGGAGAAGGCTGGAGGCAGTGGAGATGTCATGTCTGAGGGCAATGTGTGGTGTGAATATAATGCAGAGAATTCGTAGTTTGGAAGTTAGGAGGAGGTGCGGGATTACCAAAACTGTTGTCCAGAGGGCTGAGGAAGGGTTGTTGAGGTGGTTCGGACATGTAGAGAGAATGGAGCGAAACAGAATGACTTCAAGAGTGTATCAGTCTGTAGTGGAAGGAAGGCGGGGTAAGGGTCGGCCTAGGAAGGGTTGGAGGGAGGGGGTAAAGGAGGTTTTGTGTGCGAGGGGCTTGGACTTCCAGCAGGCATGCGTGAGCGTGTTTGATAGGAGTGAATGGAGACAAATGGTTTTTAATACTTGACGTGCTGTTGGAGTGTGAGCAAAGTAACATTTATGAAGGGATTCAGGGAAACCGGCAGGCCGGACTTGAGTCCTGGAGATGGGAAGTACAGTGCCTGCACTCTGAAGGAGGGGTGTTAATGTTGCAGTTTAAAAACTGTAGTGTAAAGCACCCTTCTGGCAAGACAGTGATGGAGTGAATGATGGTGAAAGTTTTTCTTTTTCGGGCCACCCTGCCTTGGTGGGAATCGGCCGGTGTGATAATAAAAAAAAATAAAAAAAAAAACAAAAAATCTATCTTGGTTAATATTATCTTTCCTTCATTTTGACATTCACATTTTTAAACAGTTTAATAGCCCTTTTTCTTCTTCAGTAAAACCTTTTACACTCTCTACATTTGATATTCTTTTAGTCCACATCCCAAGTGCAGACCCAAGATGAACTCTACACTGGTAAGGTCCCTTCAGGTCCTCAATAACAGTAAAGATGTTATAAGATTGGAAGAGCATTTTAACCTATGAGATCACTTAGCACTCTTGGCAGAAAAAGAACAAGTAAATATGAACTTACTTATGAACACTAAGTTAAAATAAGTTAAACAATGAAGTAATTTATTGACAATGGCAAAAAGACTTCCCTAAAAATTCTCGAGGTTCCAAAGATACTGATATTAACAAAAACTACAACTTAAATAAAAAAGGCCAAAGCTGTGGGCAAACAGAATGTACTTCACTAGTCACAGAGATGCACAAGAGCATTTGCAAGAAGGTGGCTATGGAAGAGGTGTGAATGCTCGATCCTCAATATACAAAGATTTGTAGAAGAATGAGACATAAGTGCAACAGTTAGATACTTTGATTTTCAAAACACAGTAGGATTCTTCAGTCAAATACAGAAATAACTAAATATGGAAACAGCAAAGTAATGAAGAGGTAAAGATGATGTGATTTGTTCATCAGCTCTGAAGAAATAGCTTTGATGTGTGAGGTAATCAGTCCCATAGACTAGGGAAGTGTTCAGCTCCTTAGTCATGAACAATATGAAGATTAAGCATGGGAATGGATTCTATATATATATACTGTCAGAGGTGAGGTATGGAAAATGAAGATGACATCACAAATGATAGGGCCCACTTGTAGAAGTAAGAGCAAGAATTGAGGAGCACTGCAGCAAGCCTACTGCCCCATACTAGGAAGGTCCACAAATTCACCTCTTCTCACATATAACTAGTGGTTGGGCAATAAAGTTTTGGAAGTTGTTATCTGTACCACTGTGTTCCAGTATCAGACAAATATCATTATTATAATGGTATACAATACTTCTGCTGGTGGGCCCCACCTCATGTGCAATCATCTCTATTTTCCACTCCTCACCTCCAGCTTTACACTGCTCAAGACTATGGAGCTGAACTCTTATCCTGGCTGAGGATAAGTGTTCAATTCCAAATTATTTCTTCAAGACTGATGGACAGATTACATGTTTACCTCTCTACTGCTTCTGCTGTCTCCATATTTACACACTTTTGTATTTAACTGAGGAAGCCTGAAGTGTAGACAAAACATTTTGTAAATACGTACAGATATGTTGCAGTTTTTGAACTGTAGTATTGGCACACCTCTGGCAAGACAACAATGGAGTGAGTCATGATGAAAGTTGTTGTTCTTTCTTTTGGTGGGAATTGGCCAATGTTTTAAAAAATGAAAAGATACCTAACTGGAGGTACCTGTTGGTATCTCCTGTGGAAGGACAAGGGCCAAACTCCAATGTTGAACCTTGGATAACCTATTACTTGTCTTCAGGGCACATCATGCCTGCCACATCCCAAGAGCACATCAATACAAGTGGCCCATGACATCACTGTAAGGCTGAAGTCTGCTATACAGCAAGCCTGTAGCAGTAATTTTTGCCTCAGTATCCATCCATTCATTTCATGGAACCATGATATGTCTCAAACACCAACAGAATTCTATATTCCTGTCAGACACAGGCTCATTACTCATGGAGCTTCTGGAGTAGCGAGTGGACAAAAGAATATTGGGTCAGAGTCAACAAAGTGCACCAGGAATCTGAATACACAGTGGGCCAAGACCTGACTATGCCAGCTATCATGAGGTGAGGAGCAAAGATTACACAAAGTTCTGCAGTGAACACATCTTTAGGATGAAATAAAACTTAGCTAAAGACTTTCCCAGTTCTAAGAGTGGGTCTTAATTATTCCTACAATGATATGACCTTGCAATTTCAACCTGGCATACATGAGAGAATCTTCATGTGACTGAGAAAACTAACATATAACAAACACTAACGTATACAGAATATTAAACCCATATCAACTATTAATTTATTGCATTTAAAAAAAATTAGAGCAAGAACAGTAGTATGGAAGTTGCTGCATTAACACAGTCAGGTGTACTTACCATACTATTTCTGATGCCTGTAATTTGACTGATTCCAAATCTTGGACTTATCAATATAACAGTCTCCATGTTGGTGTCCTGAGGGAGGAAGAAGAAATTAAAGTCTGCACTAAACATTTTAGGGATAAAAATTGGAAAAAAAAAAAAAACACCATCACCATCATCATGGAGCACTAAACCTGTAGGGTCATAAAGCACCTTATTTGCAATGATTTGCAAATAAAAATGACTCGAAAGAACACTGAGTGGTATAAGCTCAGTGAATTTTCCAGCTTCTCAAACACTGCTTTTTCTTAACAAGTATGTCCCACCAAGGTAGTCTGAGAGTCTATTAGTACTGTATTAACAGGATTACAAATTCTCATTATGCCACCATGAGACCACTGTAACTAGCAACATCTCTTACATAATGACCTACTAAATGCTTCCCAGGAACTTCAACAGTCCTGTCTGCAGATGACACAATATTCACCATATCAACTTCACATCTTGTTGTCCTCGACAACACAGTCAGCGAGGAGTTCACAATGACCTCTACCTTAATGGCAACCAACAAATTTATGCTCAATAAAGCTTAAAATGTTTGACTGTAACTTGAAATTTAACACTTACATCCAACACATTCTATCAAAAATACTACATGGTGAAGAAGAAAAAGAAAAAATACTACATGGTGAAGAAGAAAAAGAAAAAATACTACATGGTGAAGAAGAAAAAAAAAAGAAAAAAGAAAAAAAAAAATGAGGAGTCAGGTTAAGTCGCCGTCTAGTTGAACCCTCTCTAATACACAACTTTCCTTGTATGAACCTTAGTCCTGGCTTCGTCTCTGTAGATGCCTTCCTCTCCCACTACATTGTAAAATGCTCCAAACTTCAGAACACCCGTGACTTAACCTGATTCCTCATTTTTTTTTTTTCTTTCTTTTTTCTTTTTCTTTTTTTTCTTCTCCCTCTTCCCCTTTCCTCTTCCTTTTCTCCTCTGGGTTGTCTTTCTTTCTTCTGTCTCGTGTTTCTGTTCCTTCTTCATTAATTTCCCACTTCCCCTTTCATGCACCTCTGTGCGCTTGCTCTCCCTCAGTGGGCACCTAGCTCTCTTGCAGTGCTCCCCTTCCTTTGTAATTGACTGGCTCATCCTCCTTATTTCCCACTTCTACCACTACCACTACTAATACCTCTTCTACTACTACTGCTACTACAACTACTGATGAAATTAAGACATATGTGCGGCGTCTGGTTGTCTTTGTTGTGGACGTTTCGCCATCCAGTGGCTGGCTGGATGGGGAAACGTCTGTGATAGGGATGCCCAGGTGTTGCACATGTGTCTTAATTTCATCTTGTCGGTATTATATACCATTCTTGTACTACTACTACTACTACTACTACCACCACCTCTTCCTGCCTATATATAGCTGTCCTGCTCCACTTGTGGTTAGTGTGACTGTCAATGGTCCAAGTCGGACCAAAACGTCGTCGTAAGCTTCTCTCTTTTATGTGAGGGTTATTTGTGTATCGTTCCAGTCACGGTACTGTGCCTTTTTTTCATTATTTATAAACCCCCAATGTTATACAACAAAACTCACCTATAAGAATAATCATCCAATCAGGTTCCAGACAACCCCCCCCCCTCCCCCCACTATTCAAGGCTTAACTTTAACTCACCTTAAAAAGTACTCACACCTGCTACTGTAATAGAACACAGACACAATACAAGAAATAAGTACTGCACCTCTCTGATATACCAAATGTTCGACCTAACCTATCTAGGAACCCCCATGCAAATAAAGAATCCCAAAATTTGGAACTCCATTCCAAAAGATGCAAAAAGTCCCATCAGCCACGTTCTTCAAAAAATGTATTTAAAAGTACATCCCCAAGGACCCTATTGTAAATAAGCCATTTTGACTTTTTTTAGGAGGGATATTCTAGGTAATTTACACATATATTACTGTACAATAATTTGTGTAACTGCATTGATGTGTACCTGTACCGTAATCTGACCTAAATTCTGCATGGATATATTATGTTACAGCCCAGTTTATCAACAACCTTGTTAATTCAAATAATATTAGCATTCATACAGTTCTAATTCAGTATTCCTCACCACAAATGTTATACCAAATTGTTAAAAAATCCCAAAACATCAAAAATCATAAACCAAATTGTTATATACAGAGTCAAATATTGCAAATAATAGCATTCTGGAACATTAACCTCACTAAATAATCATTCAGTACTTATAAATTAAGTCACACTCTACATGATCAGGGGCTTTCTATAAAATATATCAATTGCATTTATTAATCCTGTGTCAATTTACACTATACTGTATTGAAATAAGATTGTTATCATCAATGATATAGCATCTGCTTAATATACTGAACCAACAATTCACTCATTAGAGATTTTAGATGCAGATAAGAGTGTGTGTAATGAGTAATTCAGTTTGTGACCTGCTGAAAATAACATAGGAGAAGACAGTGTAGCTAAATAAGACAGAAAACTTACTGAATGTTCAGAGTGAGCAGAAAACAAAGAAAGTTGCCACATTTAATAGCCTTGTGATAAGACAAAGCCTTATCATATTAAAATCAAACATTCACAAGAGTGCTTGTTTGGTCCTGAATGATTCAACAATTTTAGAGTGCACAGACAGCAGAATAATACAATATAAAGTGGGAAAAGTGCATCTGCTGTCCACACAGCATGAGAAATTTCTCTGCTGAGTTGGAGCAAATTATTTCTGAAAAGTAAGTGTTTAATGCTCTTGAGAGAGGATTATATTGGAAGATACCATTTACAACTTGCATGAACTAACAAGAGAACAGTGTACCTAGATTCCAGGCAGTGAAGGATTAGCTTGCTTCTCTGCACACATGCACGATTTCAAGAACAAATCTGTGCTTATTTATTCCTAACACAGAATTCCCATGCTCTATAAGGCAAGAACATAACCACTTTGCCTGTTATTTGGTGGTCTAAGAAGACAGCAATGATGAGTGTGGTCCTGTTATTGAGTCATTCAAGCATTATTTTATTCCAGCAATGAAGCTGTAACTAGTCAGAAAGAACGTTACATTCAAGGTTCTCCTCACTCTCGATAACTGCCACTGCCATCCTCAAGTCTTGCAGTCTGTGAGCACAAATATGAAGGTTGTATTTTTTACCACCAAATACAACATCTTTGACATAACCATTGGTTAGAGGAATGATTAAGTCATTTAAGTGCCACTACCCATCCAAGGTCAAGCAGAAACTCATTACAGGAATGGATTACAATGCAGATACTGGAGTTGGTTTAACACTGCAGATGCAGTAGCTCCACATAAAGTACCTCAAATCAACAATAAATGCAGGCTGGGGAAGATTATGGCATGGCAAGGTGAATAATTTTACAGGTTCTCCCTTAGCAGAGTCGAGAAGAGTGCCAGGTGAAGATAAACAGGCAGAAGATATAAATGAACTGCTATAAGATGAAGAAATGTTGGAGGAGCTCAGTTGTCAGTTTGAAGAGAGGCAGATAATAGATGAGGACGAGGCAGAAGAACCTGTAGCTAGAGTTGACACTCCAAGAGATACTGTGTGTGTGACACTGCATACCACTGACAAGGCTACAGATTTTTTGACTGAGAAGGATTCTGAGACATCAGTACAAAGTAACAAGTAAAACAGGATAGATGCATTATATAATACCTGAACACTCCAGTACAACCATCAACCATTGACAACTCTGCATCAACACTGTCACCCACATCATCACAAAAACTATAGTCATCTACATTAATGCAAGAACCACAGTCATCCACCTTCTTCTGGTAGGGCCACACTAACATTCTCCATGCATTTTAAGATCAACATAATCCAGCAACCAGAATTTAAGCTGAAAAAATATTTAGCTATAAGAACTATATTTGTTGACTGTGTAAACTTCACTGTATCCAAGCAATAACAACTGTGATAAAAGGCATGAAAAACTATTATTTTTGATGAAATTTTTTGTGTCAAAGAACTTAAACCCTTTATTTTTCCTCATAAGTTTTTCATTCCACGTACTGTATCATGATATCGTGTATAGCACTGATTTTCAGGAATTAACCCACAAAATGTAAGAGGGAAGGCGGGGCAGGGGTCGGCCTAGGAAAGGTTGGAGGGAGGGGGTAAAGGAGGTTTTGTGTGAGAGGGGCTTGGACTTCCAGCAAGCGTGTGTGAGCATATTAGATAGGAGCAAATGGACACAAATAGTTTTTAGGACTTGACGTGCTGTTGGAGTATACAAGGTAACATGTACGAAGGGATTCAGGGAAACCAGCAGGCCAGACTTGATTCCTGGAGATGGGAAGTATGTGTACTGCCAGCACTCTGAAGGAGGGGTGTTAATGTTGTTAATTTTATAACTGTAGTGTAAGCACACCTCTGGCAAGATAGCGATAAAGTGAATGATGATGAGAGTTTTTCTTTTTCGAGCCACCCTGCCTTGGTGGGAAATGGCAGATGTGTTAATAAAAAAATAAAATAAAATGTGAGTCTACCGTACTGTACTATGCGCACTAATTACAAAATGACTGCTAAGCCATACCTCAGATTCTGACCAAAAATTAGTGTAGTGCTGAAAATTTACACAATACAGTGGACCCCCGCATAACGATTACCTCCGAATGCGACCAATTATGTAAGTGTATTTATGTAAGTGCGTTTGTACGTGTATGTTTGGGGTCTGAAATGGACTAATCTACTTCACAATATTCCTTATGTTAACAAATTCGGTCAGTACTGGCACCTGAACATACTTCTGGAGTGAAAAAATATCGTTAACCGGGGGTCCACTGTATAAGATTTCAAATATGAGATATACAAACCTGTTCTCAAATGTTTAAAGGGAAGTAAGAGTATTTTAAAAATATTTACTAAAAATACAGATTCCAATATTCACACTCCACAAATAAAATAATATTGAGTTATATTTACCCCAAAATCATTTGCAGGGTCTGTACATGCAGTAAATGGAATATGAAACATTTGTAAAGTCTGTACATATTGTAGATGAACTACAGAACATTTGCAGGATATACATACAGGATGGCC